TTGTTGTTTTAGTTGTTGTTTTTGTTGTTGTTTAGTTTGTTGTTTGTTGTCTTTTTGTTGTTTTTAGTTGTTTTTTGTTGTTGTTGTTTAGTTGTTGTTTTTTGTTGTTTTTAGTTGTTGTTTTTAGTGTTGTTTTATTGTTGTTTTGTTTGTTTTAGTTGTTTTTGTTGTTGTTTTAGTTGTTGTTTTTGTTGTTGTTTAGTTGTTTTTGTTGCTGTTTTAGTTGTTGTTTTTGTTGTTATTTGCTTCTGTTGTTATTGTTGTTGCTTGTTGCTTCTTATTATTGTTGTTGCTGTTGTTGTTGTGCTGTTGTGTTGCTTGTTTGTGTTGTTGTTGTGTTGTTTTGTGTTGCTGCTGCTGTTGTCGTTGTTTTGTTGTTGTCTTTCTTGTTATTGCTTTCTTAGTGGCATTGTGGGCAGTTGTTTATCTTACCACTTGATATGGTAATAACATTAATGGAAAGCATAACAATAATGATAATAATAATAGTAACAATAATGATAGTGAAACATGATAACAACATTGATAATACTGACAAAATTAACGACAACGAATAAAATAATGAATAATGATGATAATGATGATGATGGTGAAATGATGATAATGATCATAAATAATAGTAATAATAATAATATTTATAATAATAACAATAGCAATTAATAACAATAACAATAACAAAACAACAACAATGATAATAATAATGTTATAATTATCATTATCTTATTATCACTATTTCTCATCTTCATCATCATATCATCATCATCATTGATTACTATAACACACATAAGCGTGCACGTATGTGTCTGTACTTCCGCATATCCCTACATATGTCAGTGTCAATGTCAGTGTCAATGTCAGTGTCAATGTCAGTCAGGTCAATGTCCAGTGTCAACAAGTGTCAACAGCAATGTCAGTGTCAATGTCAAGTCTAAAGTCTGTCTAAAAGCTAATTATTCAGACAGGAGCCGCCCAATTGATGACATTATGTGAGGTCCAAGTTCGGAATTAATCCTCTGAAGCCAGGTCGGTGCGGTGAAGTCAGGTCACAGTGCGTAAGAGAAGGAGAGAGGAAAGGAAAGAAGGAGAGAAAGGAGAGAGGAGGAAGGAGAAGGAGGGGAGAAGAGGAAAGGAGAAGGGAAGGAGTGGAGGAAAGGAGAAGGAGGGAAAGAAAAGAAGAGGAAAAGGAAGGAAAGGAAAAGGGAAGAAAGGAACAAGGAGAAGGAGAGGAAAGGAGGAGAAAGAGGAGAAGGAAAGAGAAGGAGAGGAAAGGAAGGAGAAGGAGAGAGGAAAGGGAATTGAAAGAAGGAGGAGAAGAAAGGAAGGAGAAAGGAGAGGGAAGGAGAAAACAAAAGGAGAGAGAGGGGGAGAGGAGAGGGGGCGAGAAAGAGGAAAGAGGGGAAGTGGGAGAGGAAAGGGAAGGAAGGGGGAAAGGGAGAGATGAGAGGAAGAGGGGAAAGAGAAAAAAAGAAAAAGGGTACAGAAAGAATGGAAAGAAAATATAGGAAAAGGGATAAAATGAAATAAGAAGGGAAGAGAGGAGAGGAAAGGGGTAAGAGAAAGAGAAAAAAGGGGGAAGTGAGGAGAAGAAAGATGAAAGCACAGGGATAGGGAGAAAAAGGAGAGGAAAGAGAAGGGAGGAGGAGAAGAAGAAAGAAGAAGAAGAAGAAGGGGAAAGGAGAAAGGATGAAGGGAGAAAGAGAGATAGGGAGGAGAGAAAGGAGAGGAAAGGGGAAGGGAGGAGAAGGAAAGAGAAGGAGAAGAAGAAGAAGAAAGAAGAAGAAGAAAAAGAGAAGAAGAAGAAGAAGAAGAAGAAGAAGAAGAAGAAGGAGAAAGAAGAGATAGAGAGAAAGGAAGGAACGGGGAAGGGAGGAGAAGGAGAAGGAGAAGAAGAAGAAAGAAGAAGAAGAAGAAGAAGAAGAAGAAGAAAGAAGAAGAAGAAGAAGAAGAAAGGAAGGAGGAGAAGGAGAAGAAGAAGAAGGATGAGGAGAAGAGAGATAGGGAAGAAGGAGAGGAAAGGAGGAAGGGAAGGAGAAGAAAGAGAAGAAAAGAAGAAGAAGAAGAAGAGAGAAGAAGAAGCAAGAAGAAGAAAGAAGGAGGAGAGAGAAGGAGAAGGAGAAAAGAAAAGGATGAGGAGAAAGAGAAATAGGAGAGAAAGAGAGGAAAGGGGAAGGAGGAGAGGAAAGACAAGGAGAAGAGAGGAAGAAGAAAGAAGAAGAAGGGGAGGAGAAGGAGAGAAAGAAGAGGAGGAGAAGGAGAAGAAAGAGATGAGAGAAAGAGAGATAGGGAGAGGAAAGGAGAGGAAAGGGAGGAGGAGAAGGAGAAGAAGAGAAGAAGAAGAAGAAGAAGAAGAAGAAGAAGAGGAGGAGAAGGAGAAGGAGAAAAAGAAGAAGGATGAGGGAGAAAGAGAATAGGGGAGAGAAAGGAGAGGAAAGGGGAAGGGAGGAGAAGGAAAGACAAGGAGAAGGAAAAGAAGAAGAAGAAGAAGAAGAAGAAGGAGGAG